GTTGTAAGCGACCGCCCCTTGGTGCAAGAAAAAGCGGTCTCTTACGGCAGATGGTCTCTTACGGCAGATGTATGGTAAATCCGGCATACCGGGCATGCATATATTAGGGCTCAAACGGTCACGGTTTTACCCCTAACGGTTAACTGCTAAGCTAACGGTCGGTTTAACGGTTATAACCTATAAGCCACGGCAATCCTGCGGACTTTTTTTTTTAACCATATATTTGACTATAATCCTTCAAAAAATGTACCCTATTCAGTACAACGCACACATGTACATTCTCTTGCATGCTCATTCATACATACTCTCACACCAAGAGACCAGATATGACCGAGTTGACAGCCCAGAAATTGCGTACGCGTGCGACAGCCTGCGAAAGTGCATACTTTGCAACGACCTGATACTTGAAAAATTGACTGAAAAGTTACTGCGTAACCGTTATCTTTATCGGTTAACCGTTAATTCTTCGTAACCGGTCTGCAGCCGGTTAATCGGACTAACCGTTTGAGCCCTAGCATATATGCTTCCATGTACTCAAATGAACGAGAATAATGTGATTTTTACATTTTATTGGATATTCAATAGAATATAGGGGTACCCGGGTGCCAGGGCCAGTCGATCGCACTTGCAAGACAGCGCATTTTCACACCTTGCAGTTGACAGCGCACTGGCAAGTACAGTTTCGCACCTGACTGAACGTGGGTCGCGGTCGCTTACAGTAGATTTGAATGCAGCCACCGTGCATGAAATCGCGGTCGCTGGTCGCGCACAGCAGATGGTCGCTCTGGACAGATCAATTTGTATGTGAAGCCGTCGGTGCACGGAAAATCGGTCGCTAACGGTAGATGGTTGCCTACAGCAGAGGTCGCTAACGGCAGATTTGACTGTAGCAGCAGTAGCGGGTTGTGTTGGACCTGACAACTCACTGTGGAAGATTTGAGCTGCAGCAAAGGAGGGCTGCCTGCTCTTTAGCAGTACGAGTATATTATGTTATAATTATCTGTTTTGCTCAATGTTGTTTCACGACTACTGTCCGCTCATCAGAATGAAACGTCGGTAGATGCCATGAAGGAACACAGTCTCGAAAGACCAATAGTTCACACAATTTGTCTTAGGAAGGTGCCGTAAAGAGCCAGCAACATGTTTTGTTGTGGATGTAGTTCCTTGTCAGTTGCTGTTGTGAGTTCCCCCGCCTGTTGTGTCGCTTGGTTGCGTTGACGTGATCCTGCGCATAGCGTTTGTTTGTTATGGAGCACCTCTGCTTGTTTGGGAACTGCGAATTAAAATCAAATCAAATAAAAACAAAAAAATTGACGGTTTGCGTGAGGCTCGGCTGGGGGCGAGTTTTCCGCATTCATAGGAACTTCACCCTGTATGGGTCAAGGCGCAGATGATTAAACAAACAAACAGAGATCGTGTTTCCCATGTTTGTGTTGGCATGATCCTCTGTACACAGATCATGTTACCTAAGGTTGTGCATGTTGGTGTGATCCTGTGTACAGAGGGCACCGGTGGTTATTGTGCACACGCATCGCGACATGATCTCCGACTATGAGTTTGGACAGCGAGTGAGGGCGCTGAAGAATATGGCGGCCGAAGTGCGGCAGCTCTTCCACGACTTCTTGCACATTGACGAAGAGGTGATTATGATGGATGCTACGGACTGTGGAACTCCTGAAATGACGCTGCTGAAGAAAACACTTAACCATTGCCGTGACAACCTACTTCGGGTAAGGATTCAACTTGGTGTGATGCAGTTTTCGGCACGGGCTTCTCTTTGAGAAGAAGTTTGGAGGCTTCCTGCAGTTTCATACCGTAAAAGCCCGTGTATAGGCCCCCGGGCGTATAGAATAGCAGCCTCGATTTCCTGGGCATATACAAGGGCACGGGCGTTATTTTGGAACCGGTCGTATACTTGGAATAGGGATAGCAGTAAGTATTGGTTATCAGTACCTGTACATGTACTGGTGTTTCCGGCATACCTGGGCGTATACATGGGCATGGGCGCTATTTTGAAACAAAAGTGTTGACTTCCCCTGCCCGGGCGTGTACACGGAGGGTGGGCGTAATTTCGAGTGGGCGTATACACACGCTTTTGCGGTAGTAGATACAATTGGGTGAATTCACCCATTCCACAATACTCTGCAAATTTCCGAACCATTCCATTATATACAACGTTTCGGCCAATGGCCTTCTTCAGGTAGTCAATGATGTCCCTAAGGCTGCAAACGGGCGGTTTAAATATGCGCCTGTTCCGCCCGAAGCGCGCGATCTATTCTGCTAACGGGGAGGCGGGAAAACCCCCCAAAAAAGCCAGGTGTGGGCTTCTCTTTGCTCGGCTAATTCTCTTCTGAGGGTGTCTATCAGTCTATGGTCTGTACATGTACCACAGATGAACTAGCTGCTCTATCTACCTGTCTGCAGTATTGTCAACAAGCTGTTGTGTCATTGGAATGTATTTTGTCATTGTTCTTGTTTCATACTGACAGGACCAGCCACCAGCGCGTAAGATCTGCGATGACATTGCCGTGGCTCTGGCTGGCAAGCGTGACTGCTACTCCGGTGCTAAGAGTGTGATGTCGTTCCGCCAGTATTCCCAGTTTGTTCACGACAACGTCAATCCGCTCATCAGCGTCGATGACCTGCGCACGGTCACCATATCTCTGTCAGCTACATCCACTGTGAGTACTACAGTCGGCTTTGCGTATAACGACACTCGGTGCGGCATCGGAAAAGTGTCCTTATTCGCGAAGCATCCTTATGCCCGAAGTCTCATTATATGTATCACAGTTAGATGGGAGTTTGCTCTGGATATGGAAATTCTATCGTTATTCCCGAATTGTCGTTATATCCGCAGTCGTTGTTAGTGAAGTTGACTGTAAACGGCCACTTTGCACGGAGTCCACCCGACACAACCGTATGTTACCCTCTCCGTGGAAATTTCATTGGCTCTTTGTTGTCACATGATGTACTGTGCTGTGCTGTGTATTCGTAGTTGTTCTTCCACAAAGACATGCAAGACACGGTGGTACTGGACCCACGGTGGCTGTGTGGAGATCTGCTCGGTGTATTGCTGTCGCCGCAGAAGTTTGAGAAGACGCTTATTCGTGCCGACCCGCACGGCATCATCCAGAAAGCTGATCTCTACGAGGTACGCAGCACACCGGAATGGGGAGGGGGGGGGGGGCTATGTGTGGGTTTGTGGCTTTGTGTATGCATAATTATGTGTGTGTGTGTGGGGGGGGGGGGGGTATGCATGCATGTGTGCGCGTGTGGGGGGGGGGGGGTGTATGCGTGCATATGTGTGTGTGTGTGGGGGGGGGGGGGGTGTATGCATGCGTGTGTGCGCATGTGAGTACTTGTATGGTCTGTCTGCATTTCATGACAATAATCTATTTGCGGTTTATACTCCTGAAAAAATATGTAAACTCTGCCGTGTGCCTGTGTGTCAGTGTGGTACGTTGATGCTCTCTACTATTCTGCCCCCCCTGTTCTGTGTCCTGCGCTGCCATACCTCTGTGTGGACTACAGGCCTTCCCTGACCTGCAGCCCAAGAAACTGGACACACTGATGGAGTTCTTTCAGCTGTGTATTCCCGTCGAAGACAATGACCAGTGCATGCTGCTGCCGTCACTGATAGTTGACAATCGCATGCCTGACGAGCGTGTACCAAGTGATATCTGGCAGGAGACGGAGCCAGGAGAAATGGTGGCCATCGGGCGACGCTTTGTGTGTGTCACCGACTTGGACATCTTTTCACCGGGGTTTTTCCCTCGATTGCAGGTTAGTCTTGTGTAGCCAGGTTCAGGCACGTAGTGAGCATGATAATTATTGATGTCGTACTTCACTCGGTCGGTCCATGTTGCAATGGCCCTGATCAACACTTGCATATCATTGTATTGTGTGCAGATTGTGTGCTCATACATTAGTGTCACTGCGCGTGTGTGTGTGTGTGTGTGTGTGTATGTGTGTGTGTCCCATATGGTGCAGTGGTATGTGCAGCGATTTCCAATCGATAGGTTGCGGGTTCGATTCCCGACGATTATGGTCACACACGTCTTTCTTCTCTTTCTCAGACTCTTCCTGACTTTTCTTTCATTCTCCTGGGTGGTTACCAACAGCCAGTGCATGCCGGAGTATGTGGTGTGATGTGTGTGCGGGAAAAAAGAAAGAAAAAAAATGAAAATGAAAAGACCAAAAATAGGGATTCACTGGCCAGAAAAACCACTTCAAATAGCTGTATGGTGTAGACCAGGCTGAATAGTGACGGTCAATTCTTCAGCCTTGCAAGCTGTTGAATGGTGCAATCCCGGCACAAGTTGCTATGGCTTCTGCCGTAGCATTGCTATCATCGCCTCCGGCGATGGGCGTCAAAGGTCAAAGGTGTATGTGTATGTGTACGTGTGTGTGTGTGTGTGTGTGTGTGTGTGTGTGTGTGTGTGTGTGTGTGTGTGTGTGTGTGTGTGTGTGTGTGTGTGTGCATGTGTGCGTGCATGCATAGGTCCAGTCTGGAGTAGACAACGCCTTGCTTGTGCCGGTGAATGTACAGTCATGTACATGGCATGATGATTGTAACTTACATGATTATACTGTCGCTGTTGTTCTTGTCAAGGTGCGTGCCTGGAAGATTCACAAGCCTGGCTCCAAGTGGAGACTGTGGAAAGGAGGAATGTACATGTGTTCCCCAGTTGGTGAGAGACAGGAAATGAAGCAGGAGCTACTCATGCAGATCTGGGATGCGCGCCAGATCGACATAATTGTGCGTGTGCCCGCGGAGAACGCAAAGATATTGACGGAGCAGCTTGGCTTTGTTCACATGTGCATGGAGAACGCTATCAGAGCGTTCTCGTCTTCAATCCGCCTGCAGCTGCTTGCACTGAGCGGGCACGACCTGTGCCGCAAACACGCCGGTGGTACCTACCGTTACGCGTACCCCATCAAGGAAGTGTGCCTGGCCGAGCGTGGCAATCGTATGATGCTGCATGCGAGTGCCGGTGAGGAAGACCCTGTACAGCTGCTGCACGCCGGCATTAAGTCCCACAGCTTTGCTGCCAAACAGTCCAGTGCTCACGTCATGTATCTGGATGAACAGTGTCTAGAGGAGTTGAATGATGCTCTGAACAAACACGATATGGACACTGGTAGCTGGCGCAACCTTGCCCAGGTGCTAGACCTCGGGGATATGATTGAGATATTCGCCGTCCAGCCCAGCCAGGCCACACTGCGTCTCATGGAGCGCTACACGATCTCACCGCGCGCCAGCATCCGCGACTTCCGGCGCATGCTCTCCACCAAGGTGGGCAACGTGGCGGCAACCAGTGCAGTGACGCGTTGCATCACTCGCATGTGCCCGTCGTCGTAGAGTGGGTATGGCTGGTGTGTGTTGCATCACTGCCATGTGTCCATCGTCTTAGTGAGTACGGCCCGTATGGCTGTATTGCACTACAGTCATTGTGTGCATCGTCTTAGAGTGGGTACCTCTCGTATGTGTTACGTCACTCGCATGTGAGCATCGTCTTAGCGAGCATGTGTTACACTAGCAGATCAACTTAGCTCATGACTTGTCACTCCACTTGCAGCCCTGTGGATACCCTGTACCTGCTCTCCGCTGCTGCCACTGTGACTGCTGAATGTAGAATAGACACAGGCCAGCAGGCTTTGTGTGTTCCAGATAGCACACACGTATGGATGGTGTGTTCTGTCGCGATTGAACCCCCCGATTTCAAACCGGACTTCTTGCTGTACTGCCTCTCACTTTCTGATCCTGTGTGTTGTAGAATCCCCCTGGCATCCAGAAACCGAATTTGTTTGCTTTTTTTAAGAATTCTTTTGTAAATGGAGGAATGTCTTTCTTCCCGTCGGCTGGATCCCGATTTTCAGTTTCTTCACTGCTGAAGTATTTATCTCTTCTCTCAGAATATAATTATATTCTACTGCAGTTGTGGCAGCAGCAGGCTCATGCCACTGTGGAGAATGTTGTTCTTTTTTTGCTGGACCTTGAGAAAATTAGATTTCTTTGCAACACTATCTGATATTATGCATTCATGAACTTTTGTTCTTCTTTTTAAGACACAATTTCCTGCTCTCATTTATCTGCACAAGTGCGTGCCCGCACACATGCACACACACACACACACGCACACACACAGAGTACTGCTATGGGCATTGCGTGTGTTGAAATATGGAACAAACTCATGTATTCGTAAATATTCACATAGTATATCGATAAACAAGAAGAAGACACCCTAGAATGTTGCACAAATCTACTAAATCAAGTGCTAATTTGGCTACTGTGAAGTAAATAGAATGGCTGGAAGAGTTACATTGTGACAGAGATTAATTTGATTGATTGTGAATTGCCGGGTGGTACTAGTAACGACATGAAACTAAGAAAAGGAGACTGCGCTGTGAGAACACAACAGCATGAAATCTGTGTTCTTGCAACTACTACAACAAAAACATGCAACAACATGTACAATGTTGCGCAATGGCACACTAGCCTACTACGTCTGTCTGGTTGTTGTTTGGGAGAGGGGGGGGGGGGGGGTCAAAGTACTAAGGCAGAAACTACACTGTGTGCGCGCGTGTGCTGACTGCTGGTTAACTATAGGGCATGAATGCCATGAGGGTGGTATATAATTATGTTGTATAATTTGATTTGACAGGAGTCCGGTGAGAAGAAAGGTACGAAAAGCAAAACAGCGGAAAAGTTGAACCAGAACAGGAACCCACGAAGTTTAGAAAGCAGAAGGCTGGTGACGACATCCGTAAGAGAAACAAAAACGGGAGTCACATATCAACGCGTATCGAAAAAGCGGAGGAAGTTGTAAAAGAAACAAATCAACAATAGCACAGCAGCAGCGCACCGCTCTCAAGGGGATAGAAATCTGTGCATTTCTGCAGTCAAGCGCACACGCACACACTGGCATCGGGCATTGCTGTGTAGACATGCACATGTACACTGCAATACAAATATCAACAATATATGGCGCGTAGCATTTGGAAACGTGCTACTAAACAACTGCTTGCCTCTACCTTAATGCCTCGATAGCGCCTCAAGAAGAAGCCTCGGCCTTCTTCAGCTTCAAGCGCAAGAACTCTGGTTTGTTGACCTCTTCTTCTTCTTCACGCTCATGCTGTGAAGGAAACCACAGGACACACACATAGAACATGTGCTCAACAGATGAGGCATGATACAGCCGCGTAGGGGTGAACTTCATACTATTTTGTTTTAATTCATCAACCACACTAAGGGTGCGTTCTTAAATCCTCTCGGAAAAGTTGGAGACTCTCCGAAAAGTTCAAGAGCTGTTCTTATATCCTCTCCGACTTTTAGGAGGCTCTCCAAAGCTCTCCAAGCTTCAGAGGTGGTTGAAGCTTGGAGATTCCCGCGGTTTGGGATCAGCGCATGCGAACTATGACTAAAAGCCACGTGTTCATCATAAGTGTACGCATTTCCCTTTTCGCATACGCACACGTGCATACCAGGGAGGCCTACACATGCGTGTAGGGCTCCCTGGTGCACACTACATTCATCACTCCAGCCCTTTGATGCTTCATTTTGCTTGACATGTGCAAAATATCTCCGAATTCTTCAAGACCCGTTCTTGAGTAATCCCAGTTTCTTCGACTTCTCTTTTCTTCTTCTCCTAGAAGCTAGAGAATATAAGAACGCACCCGAACCCTGCGGTTTAAAACTAAATTTCGGGCACACAGAATCCATGTACCCAGAATTTAGGGATCGCGCCAGGATTTGGACTGAATCAAGCGAACACTGGCATGCTGGTACAAGAAACCATGGACTTTTGAGTGCATGAGCACATGGCGTGACGCAGACAAGTTACAGTCGTACTGATGACAATATGCCACACACTACTAGCCCACAATCACATTGGATACTCCGGCTGGACTCTTGCTCTTATTTCAAATTACTTGCATAGACCTGTTGTAGGTGGATTGTGTCACCAACACACACCAACACACACCAACACACACCAACACACACACACACACACACACACACACACACACACAGGTGCGACGATGTCTCTTTGCAAGTACCAGTACACTAGCTATAGAATACTTACCGATGCGATCTTCTGCGTCTGTTTGGCCAGCATCTTTCCCAGCTCAGAGCTAGTGTCGATCTGCGAGTCTTGCTGCTTGGAACGTTTGCCTGCCTTGGGTGACATGTGACCACCAGCGTTACGACCACCATCAAACACTTTCTGCAGCTCCGGCCGACCAAGCTGGATACCTCTGCAATGAAGCAGCAACAACACCGATAAAAGTCAGAACACTCAGTCCACCAACAAGCCAGCAGCATGAATTAACGCCACAGCATAACCAAGGAGAATGGGTTAAAACTGTTACAGGCCGAAGTCTGACCATACACTCACGAGGGACCGCTTTTCACTTGTCCGTAAGGATAAAGCTTGCCTAGCTCTCTGTCTCTCTCTGCTGTGCCCATAACCAGACTCAATGCATTATTGCCTATATAAGTGCAGTTCATGGCATTTAAAGCGCACTAGCCTGCAAGCAGGCACTCCAATTGTTTATGGTACGTAGTGTCCCCCAACACTGACCGTATACGGATCACTCTACTGTTTATAGCTCTTCGTAATACAAGTTGTGGAATCCCTTTGCAAAGACACCCCCCCCCCCCCCTAGCTACCAAGTCAGCATGTACTACAATAATACCAACAGTGCAAGGCCTGCCATGTCCCAATCTTGAAGCACTGCTTAAAAGCAGAATACCGTTACAGGGTATTCGATGTTCTGGGCTGATTTCAAAGCAGCAAGCAGCCAGAATCAGGAGTGAGAGAACACAGCATAAACCAGTCCTGGTAGCGCGGGGGTTGGGGGGAATAAAGCAAACCAGTAGCTTGCTTACCGCTTTTGTTCAAAGCGCAACTCCTTGGTCAAGGCTCCAACAGGGTTGATAGTCGACATTGTGTCAGAGTCCTGGTTTTCGGTAGACAAAGGAGATGGAGAGCGACTTCTTTCTTCCTGCGAGCAAGAATGACAAGGATCAAGAGTAGATGCACAGCAGGAGTCAATGTCCAACTTGCCTACTTCTTACAAGTACATGCACAGGAAGGTTGCTACAAGGCAAGGACATAGCATACCATGGTAGCACTCATTGCTCTATACTGGCACACCATCATGTCGAGTATGTAATGGAGTATTATTCTGATAGAGTGCCGTGGTCATGGGCAGTGGATTTGCAAAATGTGCGTCGGTCCTAGTGCAGCTGTTGGTGAAATGGACCAACAGTGACCACAGCGATAGTGTGTCATGATCACAGATGACAAGTGTGGGAGAGAGAGAGAGAAGAGAGAGAGAGAGAGAGAGAGAGAGAGAGAGAGAGGAGAGAGAGAAGAGAGAGAGAGAGAAGATAAAGTGTGTGTGCGTGTGTGTGTGTGTGTGTGCGTGCGTGTGCAAACGTGTGTGGCAAGTCAATAAGAAGCCATGGCAGATTGAGATTGACAAGGATATGTAGACAGGAAGATAAACATGCATACACAAAGTGGCACACACAGGTACATGCATGGGCAAAGTGGCACACAAGCACACACAGATACATGTAGACAGACATACATGCACACACACACACCTCGCCAATATCTCCCATGGTGACAGTGACTGTTGGATTGTCGCGTGCTATAGTGGCAGACTTGACAGGTGAAGACGATGACAGTGATGATGAGGAAAGACTGGACTTCACAGGAAGAGTGGACTGATGGAGAACAGACACAAGACATGGCGAATACCACTATCAATACAATCATGTCAGGGAGTGGTACCAGGTCAAGACACTGATGAAATACACATGTGATTGGTCTAGTCGAGAAATCTCCTGTGTATGCATAGGCTGCTATTGTTTGGCCTGGAGCCTATCGGCTACAAATCCTTTAGTCCTGTAGCAAACCGAACGCTCTTTAGTGTTGGGACGGCGGGGCTCTGAAGACTGTACTGCCGGAGTCAATGAATGCGATTGCAATGCCAATAGCATACACTACAGATAGCCACAGAGAGATTTCTGAGCTCAGCAATCAAAAACACGATAAAAAGCCTGTGGCAGCTCTGCGTCACCCACTCTGAAATACACGGACGCAGTGTTATGCACTATTGCTGGAAGCTCTATCCATGCTAGCAAGAGTACATAACCCCAAGAGTGTGCAACTGCCTGCACAACCTCTATGCTGTGCTGCGACGGCAGAACTTCACATCACGTGACATGGTTCAAAAGGTTATGCTGGCAAACATTGCAAAGTGACCACAAGAGAGTTGTACCCAAAGCTGGGCTGCGTACAACCCTGTATCTATCATGCACAGAGTGCAAATAATGTGTACGGGTTCATCACGTGATGTGAAGTTCTGCCGTCGCAGACCCCATAGCTGGACTTGCACACTCTTGGGGTTATGTACTCTTGATGCTAGAGAGAGAGAGAGAGAGGGGGGGGGGGGGGGAGCTATACAATAATGCACATGATCAAGTCCAGCAGTAACTGGTCAGTAGAAGTGTGTACGGGTGTACAGGTGTACATGGGCACCACTCACCCGACACCAGTCAGCACGCGGTGCTTGTGGTGAATACGATGGAGCAGAACTGTTCTACAAAGGGCAATGGGCAGAAATAGCACATGGCCAAACGCACACATACATCAGCTGCTCTAACACAGCACTCAAAATAGTTGCTAGAGGCCATAAATTGGCCATAATGCAGCCCCCCCCCCCCCCCACCAACATTAGAAGCTGGTAGTGGTACTACAACATTGTATTGTGCTACATGATTGTACATCATGTAGCACAATACAATGTACAACAGTACAAGCCATTGTAGTTCTAGCACCAGGGCATACAAGGGGTACACCAGGGCATACAAGGGGTACACCAGGGCATACAAGGGGTACACCAGGGCATACAAGGGGTACACCAGGGCATACAAGGGGTACACCAGGGTATACAATCATGTACACCAGGGTATACAATCATGTGATACCAGGGTATACAATCATGTACACTATACAGTGTACAGTGAAGTCACACAAAACTCAATTTCAAATTCATGTACACTGTAGCATGAATGACCTGTGGGATGTTGCAGGAAAATGGGAAATGAATTGCCCCTGCTGACTCTGCATTCCCTCACACTGTCTAGCCATACATCTGCATAGTCATTGTCACATAATTGTCATCTTATGACAAGACATTCTTTCAGTGGAATTCCGAGAAGAGACAAGACAAGTCATAAAATCACGTCAGATACACTCGCAGAATGTGCAATGTATACAATCATGTATGTACATAATATGTACGAGATCTGGCCTGGGCTCCGATCGGAACACTCTCAAGTCACACGTAGACGAACAAGAAACAGCATTGGCTAGTTTTACTCATTGATCTGCACACAGGCTAGGCTAGTACAAGTAGTAGAAGGTGTGAACGTAACAATAGACGAAACAATCCCCTCCGACCCTCCTTGACACTACTGTACGCTGTGGGCACTATTAGTAGTGACAGCCACTTGGAACGAAATGCCACCAAGTGTGACGACAAGCCACTTCAATACCAGTAGATCTGTAGTAATTCATGCACTGTGCGCGGACTGCATAGCATGCAGGACCAAAACAGTGCACCAAACTATTCAACTGGTCACAATAACACTCTCAGTGCAGTCTCACAACCACTTCGAAAAATTACGATCAAGTTGCGTTGTTACAAATATTTAATTTACAATCGTACACTTCGTACACTTCGTTTGATTGAACTGACCTCAAACACCAAGAACCTTTGGCGAAAAGAGCCCGATGCCGAAGAGGATACCTTTGGCTGTGTTGTAGACCCTGTTATACTGTCCGGATGAGCCGCCTGCCAGTGGGAGCACACCGAGGAACACAGCAAAAAATCAATACACTTTTGGCATTTTCTCTCAATATGTGAAAGAACACACGCCCTAGCTTCCCATTTCTAAAACCGAAATGGAGAAGGGTGAACGAAGAATGCTTGTCAAGCGTGCTACAGAAGAGGAAAGACATTACCGTTATCAACCCGAGACATCTAAATGCAGTGGAAAGTAGGAATTTCCTTGTGGTTATCAGTCTCAGGCTCTCAGCACAAAGCCGTGACATGATCGTGACCACACTACACTTTCAAACCAAATGAAGTCATTTGACCACATCAAGCGCAGGGATCCTTGGGAGTCCAGGGACCAGGCCAGGGGTAGTCTAGTCTACCGGGGTTGCCATTCCCTCGTATCGGATCCAATGCTACGGTACGGCATTTACCTGCACAATTTGTACAAAGATAGGAGGCGCCGAGGCTGATTTCAGCGAAGAGAACTCGTTTCCAAGCAATGCTCAGCCTGCTCAGCCAGTGTGTTCTAATCAATAATTTCAACTACTAACCTCACCTAACAAAGGCGCAGATAAGACAATGTGCGGATGGCAACAAAAAAAGAAGAGGTGGGAAGCTACGGAAAGGAGCAGTGAACCCCAGCTGCTAAACTCACCGCAACAAGACAGACGACTGCTTTTGCGAAGTGTGGGTTACTTGAAAAAGTAAACAAGAATCAGGTCGTTTCACTTCGTCGGCCAAGCTGCAAGAGGCTGGGTCGGGAAGACTGTGAGATCTACACACGTAGTCTACTGTCTACACGGGACTGTACTTTTGCCTTTTTGGAATGAGGACTACTCACTTTCGCCCGCACTGACTGAACATGAAACCAGCAAAAGATGAAAACTCGACAAAAGAGCTAGAGGTCGACCAATGTTCAGCTGCGCGCTGCTAGCTTACTTCAACAAGTCCAGCGCTAGCATGACGTATGTGCGCTCTCTGGGTGCTTGCCATGCGCCAGCGCGCATGCTATGTAGATGCTGGTGCACACGTGGCTGGCCAACCGCTCCGTGTCGGAGCGCGGAGCCGGAGATATCCACAGAACAGCGCACTTGTCGCACTTTCCGCGGACATCACTCGTTTCCGCTAGCCTCGCACCCACTTCGACTTCTTTCTACAAATAATTCTATTAGTAGTTCTAGCAGCTGACTCACGTCTGAGCACGACTCGTTTCGACTTCGAGTCGTTTGGTCTACTAAGTCTACTCATTGACACTAATTTTGTACTCATACCGGCACTTGTACTCATACTCATAGTCGATCATGTAGATGATAAAATAAAAACCATCGCACGATATCGATATCCCACTCATTACCGGTACATGTATACGTAATAAGAGGCATACCGTAGGTACAGTCACAATACTCACTTTCGTCTTCAAACAGTATTGGTCATTAATATATTGCTGTAGTGTAGGTGGCTCAGTCACAAACTGGTGCTGAGTTTGCCGATCTGGCCGGTACACGTAGGGTGCGGCGGTGACGATGAGCGGGAAGTAAATAATGTTGAGTTCGGAAACTTTGCTGATCTGACACAAGCGGACGAGTCCTTTTGACTCTTTGAGGACTGGAGTCGTGTTTCAACCATTCCTCCAACAACTCAAGCTAAAGGTACACACAATCCTCCTCCTCCCCCCCCCCCCCCCCCCCCAATATCTACAGACAGTGAACATGGTGAAGCCCGGTGGGTAGCAGAGACTAGTACAATGTCATGCAGTAGCAGCACTTGCATTCATATCAAACCAATGATATTATCATTGCCATTAGTTTGTCACAAATGTGCATTGAATAAAAGTTATAGAACACGTAGTGGCACAGTACATCATGTAGCAGTAGCAGGACATGTAGACTGCAGCTAGGTCCGAGGCTCCGCGAACGAAGCGGTCAGTAGATCTACGTGTCACTTCCCCTATCTGGCAAATCAAGGGACTAGCTCCTGGTTCAAGAGTCCCTGTACTGCTGAGGGCCCGGATTTCCTTATGCAAGCTATGGTAATAATATTATGGACAGCCCCTAGACGTGTGCAACCCTGCATACATGTACGTGTACGTGGCGTTGTACAGTGATACATATTACATCACCATGCACCACGCCTACGGTGTACGCTTTGTACTACAGTCAACTTTGCGTATAACGACACCCGGCGGGCATCAGAAAAGTGTCCTTATTGGCGAAGTGTCCTTATACCCGAAGTCTCATTATGTATTCCAATTACTGTAGATTGGACTTTTCTCTGGGAATGGAAATTCTGTCGTTATTCGTGAATTGTTATATCCGCAGTCGGTATGAGCGAAGTTGACTGTATGTACAACAGAGGTCAGGTTGTGTGCAGTTCTCTGGCCCAGAACTCCCCGGGATTTCCACCCCTTTCTTCTGGGTAGGTGAGGGTGTGCTGTTCACCGACAAGTACATGTAGTTGGTGCAGTGATGACCTGACCAGCTGGCGTGCGGTTCCGACGGGGCCTGACACGTCACTACAATGAGCCAAGCCGCTCACCATGCACGCGGTGTGAGGTTTCGTCGACATAATTATTCCGTCATTGGTCCATTGGACCCAGAGGAAATCCAAGTCGGAAGTCACATCACAGTGTGCACTCCTGTGAGGTTATGCACTCACCACTGTCATGCCATTCATGTTGTGCATGCTTCCCTTGCTGCAGCTCAAGTTTGGCATTTAAAAAACTCCTGAAATACCAAGCCGCCGAGGAAATAGAGCTCCCAAGAGTGTGTAGCAGTCTGTACACTCTTAGCGACCGGTGCCCCGACTACGGACGGCAAAAGCTCACATCAGTAGCGGACTCACGCTGTACACTCGCTGCCTGGTTTTAGCGAGGAGCGGAGTCTAGTAGAGTCGTGCGACCAAGAACATTGTTTCCAAGGGGTTAGCCTAGGACGTTCTTTTTTTCCCAGCAATCTAGCTGCGTTCTTATAGCACATCCTTAGAAGCACTCCGTACTGGATCGTCTTCCTAAGTTCCTATACCCTGGCCACTTCACTATGAAAAGAATGCAAATTGTCAATTAAACTCGGATGTTGAGCCAATAGTAATATGTAAAGAGAAAAGGACCTATAAGCTTCTAGTTATGACTTACCCTCATTGGAACTTTCTGCACCTGACTCGTGACCTGAGCCTTCCAAGTTGGAAGGTTGTTGGTTTGCGCCTCGTAGATGTGTTGGAACTAGGTGTCAGGTCGTCGAATGCACGGTCTCAATATCCTTATCAGTTTTGTGCCTTGTTGTCGCACTACTATCTGACTGTATAATATCTCTTTACCTTGGTGGACTGTTAGTCTTTTAAAACTAGTATCTTATACTTCGAAGTAGGTCCTTTTCTCTTTGTCAATTAAACTAGTCGATGAAAATCGTAATTGTTTTAGACACAGCTACAGACACAGCTACAGACACAGCTACAGACACAGCTACAGACACGGCTACAGACACAGCTACAGACATAGCTACAGACACAGCTACAGACACAGCTACAGACACAGCTACAGACACAGCTACAGACATAGCTACAGACATAGCTACAGACATAGCTACAGACACAGCTACAGACACAGCTACAGACATAGCTACAGACATAGCTACAGACACAGCTACAGACATAGCTACAGACATAGCTACAGACATAGTTACAGACATAGCTACAGACATAGCTACAGACATAGCTACAGACATAGCTACAGACATAGCTACAGACATAGCTACAGACATAGCTACAGACATAGCTACAGACACAGCTACAGACATAGCTACAGACACAGCTACAGACATAGCTACAGACATAGCAGTACGTTTTTGAGGTTATCACACTGTAGGAAGTCTTGACTTCTATTATGAGCATCATTGCCTCACTCTCAGTCTACCTGTTTGTTAAAAAGGCTGTAAAATACATGCCAGATGGTCCGGGGCTATTCACTGCCATGCGTGCCCCGCAGATGTAATGATGAAATTTGATTGCCAATTTTCCAATCCAAGTCAGTGGTACTAGCAGTGTTTCCCCTGGCATGTGCCAGCCACCTGTCACTGTTGTACAAAGCTGTCCTACACTTGCACAAACCACTAGCTGCACCGCTCATACTCGTCTCCCTCGTGGAGGAGCAGTTACTCTTGATCGATTGCTAATGCTGATCGTGCCTGTAATAACCTGAGGAGCCATTGCACCAGCCCATGGGAATTAAACTTTGCAAAGTCACTGCACTGCTGGCATTCTATGTCCTGCTCCAGCTAACAGGATAATGATTGATGATCTATAGAGTATAGTACATGTATAATGCAGGTCTGGATTGATGACTACAGAACGCTGTATGAGGATTGTGGCCAGAGACCGCATCTCCCTTCCTTGGCACATGTGGTGCCGGTGTCAGTTTGGGAAGTTTGGACTGGCCTGTAGCCTCGTGACTTTTGCTGATCATGTCGAGATGCGACAGAGCATCTCACTTTCCTGTATTTTCCTTTTCCTGCACACACACACACACACACACACACACACACACACACACACACACACACACACACACGCGCGCACACACGGAAAAATGTATGCGTGTTTTCCGTTCACTGAATGAAAATTAGGGGAAAGTCTCTTCAGCCTCGGAATGGGCAACATCTGGAAGAAAGCTGCTGCTTGCACCGGTAATCTATAGTCCCCTCTCCAGATTTCCCTGGGACTTGGTCAGTCACTGTATGACTGTCTCCATCACACACTGATGCATGGCTGCAGTAAACGGGTACTCTTTGATACCGTGCAGCATTCTAACTCTATTCTCACCACAATGTACAGTGAAACCTGTCTTAGACGACCGCTCAAGGGACCTTCAAAACCTGGTCTCTGTTACCAGGTGGCCTCCTTATCCAGGGTCATTTGTCTGGAAATAGCATTCCTTGGTGCTGGTTTCAGTGGTCTTCTAGGACAGGTGGTCGCCTTATCCGAGTGGTCGCCTTATCCGAGTGGTCGCCTTATCCGAGTGGTCGCCTTATCCGAGTGGTCGCCTTATCCGAGTGGTCGCCTTATCCGAGTGGTCGCCTTATCCGAGTGGTCGCCTTATCCGAGTGGTCGCCTTATCCGAGTGGTCGCCTTATCCGAGTGGTCGCTTTATCCGAGTGGTCGCCTTATCCGAGTGGTCGCCTTATCCGAGTGGTCGCCTTATCCGAGTGGTCGCCTTATCCGAGTGGTCGCCTTATCCGAGTGGTCGCCTTATCCGAGTGGTCGCCTTATCCGAGTGGTCGCCTTATCCGAGTGGTCGCCTTATCCGAGTGGTCGCCTTATCCGAGTGGTCGCCTTATCCGAGTGGTCGCTTTATCCGAGTGGTCGCCTTATCCGAGTGGTCGCCTTATCCGAGTGGTCGCCTTATCCGAGTGGTCGCCTTATCCGAGTGGTCGCTTTATCCGAGTGGTCGCCTTATCCGAGTGGTCGCCTTATCCGAGTGGTCGCCTTATCCGAGTGGTCGCCTTGACAGGTTTTACTGTACATGACGTACATGTACATATGCTTGGCTTGTTCACTCACTCTCTGACTTGGCTCTCATGCTATGGCTGATCATCCTATGGCTACGGCCCCATTCCTGCTCAGTGATATTGAGATATACACTGCTCAGTGCTAAATCCTCCCGGATTCATCAGACACTCAACTGTTACTTCTGCCCCAAAACTTATCTTTTCTGAAAAAGAGCCGCTTTCTGATTTTGACAGAAACCCCAATGATTGCACTAGACCGTTTACTGGATGTCTGGAAACATATCCGATTTTGGACGATGAGGTTTAAAGTTTTTTGGACATTATAATCGTGTTATGTAATGGCTAATAGGGGGGGGGGGGGGTACTTCAAAAGACATTTTAAACTGCCCACCATTACAAGCAGTCAAGCATGCATGTACATGTACGTGAAGTACTCATCAGCCAAACTCGGTCACTAAACCAGGACAACTTCTCCAATTTCGACACCAGCTTTACTCTTCCTCTCTGCCTGGGTTTTGATAGACTGCTGCCTGGGTATCCTGTTGACACATTGGCCCTGTTTTAGTTCCTACTTTTACCTCGAGTGGAAAGTGCCTGTTTATAACATGTTGCTCCCAGTCCCCCCCCTCTCTCTCTCTCTCTCTCTCTCTCTCTCTCTCTCTCTCTCTCTCTCTCTCTCTCTCTCTCTCTCTCTCTCTCTCTCTCTCTCTCTCTCTCTCTCTCTCTCTCTCTCTCTCTCTCTCTCTCTCTCTCTCTCTCTCTCTCTCTCTCTCTCTCTCTCTCTCTCTCTCTCTCTCTCTCTCTCTCTCTCTCTCTCTCTCTCTCTCTCTCTCTCTCTCTCTCTCTCTCTCTCTCTCTCTCTCTCTCTCTCTCTCTCTCTCTCTCTCGTTGAACCCGGGTGTTCTTAATCCACCATTCCCAGTTTGCAAGGCTGAGCGGGGTTGTGAGCAGGCTTTCATTTCATTTTTTCTTATTATTTCTGCTTTTCATCTCATTACAAAATCTCCCTCTCATTCTCTCTCTCTCTCTCTCTCTCTCTCTCTCTCTCTCTCTCTCTCTCTCTCTCTCTCTCTCTCTCTCTCTCTCTCTCTCTCTCTCTCTCTCTCTCTCTCTCTCTCTCTCTCTCTTTTTCTTTCTTTCTTTCTCTCTGCCTGATTTCCCATTTCTCAGAGCTCATGCTCAGCATGGTTAATAGTACGAGCGTCTCTTGCTTATCCTGAGTAACTGCCATACTTATTCGCACTGTATGGGACGGGCAGTGCAGGGTACAGGAATGTGTCAAGCTTTACTCGCATTATCTGGACTTCAACGCGTATAGCTCTTCACATATCCACTGGGTGCACTGGCAATAATGCCTAAAGTGGAGATTACGAGCTCCAAACTTCCTCATCGATTGGATGCCTTCCTTATCTAACGCATGTCACTGCAGAACTATGGACTTCTAAGGAAAGTTTCTCTTTTGGGAGGTGCATTAAGCTCGCCACTTGAGTTCTGAAAGGCAGTAATCATCCAGATACGCTGTACCTACGCTGCAACTACCCGTTTTCCAGTTTTCAAGAGCTGATCTAACGGTATCATTCACCGCTGCAACACACTATCCTGCCCGCACCAAGACGTGGTCAATCATGCCGCTAGTACTCTATCTCACTCGTACTGTTACACGCACCACGATATAGGCATTGTCGCATTAGAGAAGTTGCCCCCCACCCCGGATGTCAGCTAGAGGATGATGCCCGAGATAATGCAAGTGGGCACACGTCACCCATAGCATACCAAAGTGAACACTGTCATGCCATTGGCATGCAGTGTGAATAACCTTTGGCCCAGAAACCAGCCCAGTCCATCGTTCGCTTCCGTTCCCTTTCACCCCGTAACCCCTGCCTACTTCGAAGTAGAAATATAGGCAGATATCACTACAGAGTATCTGCCCGTCAGTGTGTGTGTCTGTTTGTCTGTTGGTTGTCTCCACAAGTGCAGATAACCTATCCACACGACATGAGCCGTGACTCGAGACTGTCCAGTATCTAATACACTCATACCTCGTTTATCCGGGCAGTCCGGGACCTTGCACTGCCCGTAACTTTGAAATGTCCGTAACTCCGAATCATATACATCTTGATGGGGAAAAGGCCATCGATATGGCATATGACGTCAATATTTCTACGAAAAGTGACGAAAGAGTAGTAATATTTCCCCTGAAACTCGCCCAAATAGTGCCCGGTAGACCGAAGTGCCCGTAACTTCGGGGTCCGGATAACCGAGGTATGAGTGTAGTTAGTAACAAGAGTCCATAACCCCCCCCCCCCCCCGGGGTTATGGACTCTTGTTAGTAGTTACACTGTACTAATAACTACAAGTAGTTTTGAAGTACAGTCGGTAGTTACCGGTAGTTGCTGGTAGTTGCTGGTAGTTGCTGGTAGTTGCTGGTAGTTGCTGGTAGTTGCTGGTAGTTGCTGGTAGTTGCTAGATGAGCGTTTCGACAAACCCGTGTCGTCTTCTTCAGAATGATGTTGGGGAGTCACTTCAAGTGGCGGGTAACGGTTTGTTGAAAACGATAATACAGCATTCGCCAGTATCATTCATGTCTTGCTCCTGTTGTGGGATTCGACTACCTATCTGCAGTTGTGAGGTGCTTGAATGTTCTAGCTGGACCCTTGCTGGTGTGGCATCGTATTGTATTTTTAAAAGGATTACCCAGAGGCTCTAGGCGTGTCCAGGGATCTCCTACTCCGAGAAATGTCTCACTTCTATAACCTCACTTTTATAACTTCACTTTTATAACTTCACTTTTATAACCTCACTTTTATAACTTCACTTTTATAACCTGTCTCACCTATTTTAAACACTCCCTCTGCGAGCACCGTCGCCGATACGCTCACTAAACTGATGACATAACGTTACTAACCCCATTGACTTTCGCTGTGCCTGCTTCTTCTCTTTGTTTTCTTTGATATACACTCGCTTTACTTTTTCTCGAAAACATGACATTTCTTCTGCTAAATAATACTATGGCGTTTGTTTGTCTGTCTGACTCTGTCTAACTACCACTCTTATTTTTATTTCATTGTCTTTCTCAGGCCGCTGGTCTTCTTACAAGAGTCCGACGGCCGGAAGGTACACAAAAGTACCCTTTTCCTCATTTTCGGACGTTACTGGGTCTTGTATCTGTCGGTCTGTCTGTATACTTATTGACTGGTCATTTTGTCTCCCCTCCCCCCCCCCCCCCCCCCTCTTCCTCACATGTCCCCACTCACACGTATCACATAGGCTGACAGTCTTTTCACGTTCCCACAATGTGTCACTAGGGAGGTTTAGTCCCACGTAATCCGTGGGTACTTTACGTGGGTGTACCACGTGATACTCAGTGACCCACGTACAGACGTTTTCTGATTCACGACATGCCGTGTATGGAGGCTCACCCACGTTCCGCCAGAACGTGGGTGAAAATCAGAATGGAGCGCATTGTGCAAGCTGTGAGGGTGCTCAGCTGAAGAAGTTTCCGAAGCACGAAATCAAAATATTCGATGAGCTTCTTAGGCCCGGGTAGCTTCGTCTTTGACCAGGTTTGGGCCTTTCGCTTTATGCTTTTGTTTGTTCCGTGTGACTAAACACAACATTGCAACGTGGGTGCCCTTCATCCACTTTACGTGGATCACCCACGTACGCGTTTCCGTTACGTGGGAACTAAACCTCCCTACTAGTGGTCCCCATACACGTGTACATGTATACGCACAGGTCATGGTCTCTTACCTGAACATATGACGAAGGGATGTAACCAGCCAAGTCAGCGTCGTTCACCATTCTCGCCGCCCACCACTTGGCATTCGTCTCCTCCAGTACTTCCAGCAGGTCACCGCGTTTGAACTTGAGGATATTCTCACCAGCCTTCTGATAGTTGTGTTTGGCCACCACGATCATCACCTGCGCTGGCATGATGTCGTCGCGCTGACCGGTCAGCCGACGTACAGTCTATGCTTCGTACCACTGACACTGGCCGACTGTGACTGATGACGTGATGATGTGTTGTAATTTATGGTAATTCCTTGTGCCCTCCTCGGTTGCTGATATGGTCTTGAAAGAGAGATAGGATAACTGGGACACCAGACGGGTAGGTAAAGCAAGCGGGATATTGTTAGAGTTCGCTCAGTTCCAAGCCCTGAGCACACGAACAACGTGTTGTACGTGTACCTATAGATATAGCGGTGTTCCAGCAGTATTGAGCAGGTCGGAGAAGTCTCTCTCTTTCTCTGTTGAGGATCCCTGAAACGATGAGCCTCCAGCGTCGACTAGTGCTAGTCCGCTACTAGTACTATGCTGTTTTCGTGTAGGGGAATTCTTCGACGGAACACAGCACTGACCTATTAGATATAGCACAATGACTGACTGAGTCAATGGAGAAATTGTTCGTTCCGACGGACAGTATCTGGGCAAGGTCGTTCTTCTTGGCTATAGTTTGGTAAACTGGTTTCTGCCCGAGGAGGGATTGTTCTGCTTGGTGCTGGGAAGTGATTGTGTTTTTCAAAGAGTTGGCACAGCGAATACTGTCAGTAGCAGAGAGGCGGGCAATGTGAGCTAGCTTGCCTTCGCATCTGCCTTCGCATCTGCCTTCGCATGGTATGTGGAGGTGTTGCTCTCCTGGCCTCACGTCATTGTTGCATACTCCACGGCTCCCTGGAAACCGTGTCGAGTGACGCGATCAGCTGACGCGAAGCACGTCCGAACGCTGGCGCCAAGCTCTGATTGGCTGGAGCTAGCTGGTGTCTGTCAAACTGTACCGCTCCAAGCAATGCAATCCAGACAGATGAGTGAGAGAGGAGAGAGGCATGACAGTCGGAATGCGGGAGATGGCACCACACACGACGACGGAGCAGTCGGACTGAACTGTACCATGACCATGTTTGACGAGTCAATACAGTCATATACAGCTGCATACCCAATCGCTCCAGTATTGCAGTATTGCCTCACATCCCGGCCTACCGCCACTACTGATGCAGACTTATGCTAGTGCAGAGGTGGACTGTTTGTGCATTGATTGGATTGACATGTGCATACAGAGACTGTAGAAGAGTCACTCATTGATACCATCTATCTGACCTTGAAAGAAGGGCCCAGGGCATAACCCCATGAAGCGAATCGTTGCTCTGATGGATGGACTTAGTGACTCAACAGTGCATTCCCTTAGGAGTGTGGTATTGATACTGTATACTTGTAGATAACCGACCATCCTTGTTTTCCGAGAAGACCATCCCATGATAAAGCACTGACACTTCACTGATAAGGCGGAATCCAGAGTCTAAGCTGTTGCTACTTCAAGAAGTAGTTCGGTGTGCTCTAGACGGCACTTGTGAATACGGCAGTCAGCCTTGGTCTGTCAGTCGGCAGGAAACACGGCGTCCAACGGTAGGGGCAGTCATAATCTACTAAGGCGGAATCCTGTATACGTAAATTAGCTCTGTCAGTTCTGATGGTCTTTTCTAAGGATTCATCGGACACTACAAGTGTAGTTCTGATGGTTCTACATGATTGTATTCCATAATAATTATTATGTTCTAAGCGGTCCTATTATACATGTACGGTGACGTAGGCATTGGCGGATAATGCCGCAAAGGTGGCAGATTCTGCTCGAAAAGCAGTGAAATTGGCAGAACCATACAAACCTTATGGCGGGCAATTCCTCGAATTCTGCTCCATTTCTTTATCCACATACCAAACATGCATGAAACTTACCAGAAAAAGTACCGAATTCTGCCAATTTTCTGCCGGCATTGTCCGCAAAGGCCTAACGGTGAGTCTGTTACATGTGCATGCATATTACACCATTACTACACCATTAGCTAGTGTATGCTTGTACATGTAGTCTCTCTGCGTAGTCTACTACAGGTCTACTCTCCATATAACGTAATCTCTGGGACCACGCAAACATTATGTTATATCGAGAGTTATGTTATGTAGAAAACCGTGTGTAAAATACAATATGTACCTCAAAATGAAGGGTATTACAAGGCGGGTTCAACCTTGCAAACATATACACACTGTACCACCATCGACATCAGATACCATCAATGCCGCAGAATATATGCACAATACTGTCAATAGGACTAAACTGGCTAGCTACGGCTACAGCTTGATTGTACCGCGCACGTGAATCTACGTTGTATCGAGAGTGCACACGTCGGGGAGAGAGCCGTAGGGTGCGTTATGCCGAGGTTTACGTTATGTAGGGCTAAACTGGCCTAAACTGCCTAGCTACAGCTACCACTTGATCGTACCGTGCACGTGAATTTATGTTGTATCGAGAGTGCGCACGTCGGGGACCGCGCCGCAGCGTGTGTTATGTCGAGGTTTATGTTATGTAGGATTATGTTGTGTAGAACAAAATTTGTATGGGAGTGATGCTGTTTCGGCGCGGGATTTGACTTTTTTTATGTACTAGCGAGGTTTATGTACAAGTGAGAGTTGTTATATCGAGAGCAGACCTGTAGTAAGTACTAGTATAACCAAGAGTACATAACCCCTTTTGCCAGTTTTGGTATAACCCCCGGTGCATGCTTGCAGGGTGCCAAACTTATTTTAGTGAAAGGTAGCGTGTGCCGTACGATACTGAAGAACTTTACACCCACCGCAATCCTACCCACGTTGATTGGCTTCAGCCTAGGTTGCTCACTCTCAATTACTACGATTAGTACAGATCCACATCAATTTGCTTGAATGTCAAGCTCCTTATAAGATTACAAGCAACATTGATCCCTAGTAAGAAAAATTCCAAACTTTGCAGTTAAATCCTAATGATTTTTACATTCATAATCCGACTGATTCAGTCTCAAAATTGATTCAAAGAAATGTTGGAAAAATACCTGATGTCCGGGTGTGCTTTTGCAAATCGACAGTGTTGGTAATTAGAACTGGTCCGTGTGCTCACATACTGGCTCTAGTAGAAATGCAAGCACATACTGCTGGGCACACTGTGGAGATTAACAGTGTACTAACAGTTACCAGCACTGGTACGTACTGGCTTTAGTCATTCCGTTTGCCATACTCTTTGCTCCATGGAAAAGGAAAATAAACTTCATAAAGAACTCAGATGGTGAGCCAAGGAGGCAATTGTAACATGAAAATTGTGGGCACTTCATAAAGTATGTGAATTGACATATCACCAATAATAGATAAGCTCAAGTGATTATCCGACATTTAGAAATACTCTTCGAGGGTATTTTTAAATTTTCAACTGTAGCTCTTACATGCAAGATATAGGTTAGAATGAGATGATCACCAGATTGTTGTGTTCCCAGTATTGAATTCTCTGGCATGAGTGCTCTCTGGGTGTAACATTCAACAAGGCTGCAGAAGTCCTGGCTACTTAGATCAGCCTGAGGGCAAGTTTGTCCAGTCCAGCATGTGTGTATGTGTGATTGTGTTTGTGTGTGCCTGTGTGTGCGCACACGTGTTGATAATGTCTTTGTGGTCTACATCCTAATACGGTTGTACCAACACATCACTATCCATTTGCTGACCTAGCCATATTGCTATGGTTGGTGGGTTGTTGGGTTGGTTGGGCAGGCATTTGCTTGCAATGGTTGGTTTTCACTTCTTTCCTTGGAAACCGTGCTGGAAGACTTTACGTGGGCCTTGTCCTGGTGATGGCTCCATGCGCTGAGCCGGCTGGCCTGCATTCTGCACGGGCTGTGCAGCCGGGGGTGGCCTGCGGTTAGGTTGTCCCTGGCCCTGTGATGGCCCTCTTGGAAAGCGCATACATGGTCTGTTAGGGCCAGGAATTACTGAGCCAGCACAACAGCTGTGGATGGCTGGATGGAAGGCAGAGTTTCCACAACACATGAAGCCCTGTCCACCCATGACTACCACATTACCGCAACACATCTGTTCACTGGCAATCTCATAGCTCATCATACCGCAACAAGCAAACTCCATCATGGGTCCCTGTGCCACATTACCTCCGCAGCATGCCTGGTCGATAGTTGTGTATCGGGTGCGATTACCACAGCAGCCTTCCTTGGACAACTCAATGGTTTCCATTCCGCAACAGCCAAAACCGGTCGTGGCACTGCCCCCGCGAATATGTCCGGCACAACAAGACTGGTCATGTCGGTTATATACCTCTATACCACAGCACTCATCACCCAATGCTGGGTTGCCACTGAGCACATGATTGTTGCAGCACATCTTATTCGGCTGAGCCGTCGAGTAGGAGTGTAAGCCACAGCACGCGTGCGTCCACTCTGGGCCCGTTGTCAAATGACCACTGCAACACATCTGCGACGCTCGCTCATACACTTTGAACACACTGCGACCATCACAGCAGCCGTGCGTCTTGTTGTTATAACTTTTCATGCCGCAGCACATGTTGTGACCTTCAATGGCTGGTTGTATTTTGTCCATGCAGCACATTTCAGTGGATTTCCGATATGTCGTGCTGCCACAGCATCCAAAGCCGTTCATTTCACTGCCAGCTGACACAGAGCCTTGGCAGCAACTCTCTGTCTGTTGATTATAACTGCTCAGTTCACAGCAATTATAGCCGGCTTGCTCTGAGCCTGCTCTGACCTGGCCTCCACAGCAGATCTCTGAGCGGACATGATAGCTGGCCTTCTCGCAACAGGCGAATCCCATCTCTGGTGTGCCGGGCTGGATATCTCCTCCGCAGCACATCTCCACTCCAGTGTTGTACGGTGTTAGCTCGCAGTACTCTCGTCTGATCGTTGAGCCGCGAACCTGAGCAGACACTGAGGTGCTCGCCATCACCAGTGCAAGCAGAGCAAGCATGCTCCTACAGCGGGGATGCATTGTCGGGGTCATTGTAACTATTTTTTGGTGTTGTCTTGTCTCCTGTCCACGAAGCTCTCTTGTTCTTGTCTAGATGACAGAAGAGGTAACAAATCGTTCGACTTTCAGCTTCACTATGATCTACTTAGTTTCCTCGCACTCCCAGCCACCAGGCTTTTATAAGGGTACTACTGGGGCTACTAACGCCAATCGCTGGCTGGAAGCTAGCGAGTGGCTGTTCCTTGTCCTGAACGGACGAGGCGAACGCTAGCGCCTGCCAACTCAGTGACACGCCGAGCTCAGCAACTAACCGTCACGACTGCGCCGAACAAACACCTAACTTCCTCCTGACACGCGCTTCACCGACCGGCGCTGCGGCCGTACGGAAGTTTTTCGTTGCTGAGAGGGAGACCGAAATTGTCCAAGGTCAGTTGAGAGAGGAAGACACGCTCAAATCACCAGTGATCGACTGACGGTGACACCAGGGTGAATATGCTATGCTGAGCGCTCAGCGTTTGTTCGGAGAAGACGAAAGCAGGCGATTACAGGCGCACTGAGCGCACACAGACAATAGTACGGCCTGCAGGTCACTGGGGTCACAGCGCTGCGTCTGTCACTCTGCAAGAAGGCGCGAGGTTTTCCCACGGGGTCAATCTTCCCTAACTATTACTTCCTTAGCTCTCCTGCTCTAGACAGCCACGCCATACACACATGAACTGATTTGGT